CTAAAATATCTTCTGAAATATTAATACGTCATTGATTTCAACCCTTCCCAGCCTCCCATCCCTGAGATGACCTAACTGTTCTACATAAAGCCTTTCTTTCTGTTCTCAAATATTTTCCTGACTTTCCTGGGTTTTTGGAAACACCTTCTTGCTCACAACTTCCTTCCACATGCAGTCTATGTGGTCTTGTTGCCATGTCAGTTTTGTTCAAGGTCACTGACTATTCCAGGCTGATGTTTTCCAGAGGGAGAATCTGAGGACTGGAGATGGGGCAGTGGGCTTAGGTGGAGTGATACCAAAGGCAGTTGGGGCTGCTATTCCATCCCAATACTGGGCACAGCCTTGGCCAGGTGTGGTGGGTCTTCAGGTGCATGAGGCAATGGAAACTTCTAAAAGGGTGTGGAGCGCTCCACCCAGCCTTCTGGAGGAGGATGGGAGCGAAAGCTGCAGATGGGCCCAAGATTCTGTTTTCAGTTCCCTAAACAGTTTTCCCCTTGACCAAAGCAGTGTGACCGTTGCTATGACTGTTGCTATCTTGGTCCCTGGGACTCTCCCAGCTAAGATAGCAGAACTTTTTTTTAATCTCCTTGGGCCAGTCACCATGAAACTCAGGAGTACCTGCTCTAGGGTGGGGCTGTTGGAGGCTTGTTTGGGGTCTGAAACTGTGTTGTGATGATTGAAGATATTGGAGTATCAGGTGGGACTTTTGTTCAAAGTGTTTCTTTTCTAAATGATCCCAGCACTCCTCTTGATTGCCATGGGTTTGTTTAATTCTCCATTTTTACAGAAGTTGAATGATTGCTCCTTGGAGATGCCCATAATTAGCTCCTTACTACAACTGGTAGAAACCCAACAGGTTGAAAGAATACTAGATCTAGCCTCAGACATGTCACTAAGTAACCAGATCATGATCTTGAGTCATTTTGCTGCTAACTAAAATGCTTTATTTCTAAACTTTCTCAACTCTATGATTCATTGATGCAGTGCTCCTAAAACTGACACCCATGGATAATAATTATTGAGGAACTAACATGTTATTGCTTTAAAAAATTACTTGTTAATTATTTGCAAGGGGAAGAAAGAAAGAGGGAGGAAGAGAGAGAGAGACAGACCCTCTATCCACTGTTTCACTCCTCAGTTGTCCACAATAGCCAGGCCTGGGCCAAAGTGAAGCTAGAAGGTCAGAACTTAATCCAGATTTCCTACATGGGCTCAGGAGCTAAAGTATCAGCCATCACCTGCTGCTTTCCAAGGTGTACATTAACAGGAACCCAACTGGAAGTGGAGTAACTGGGATTCAAACCTGAATGTCTTATATTTGTCAAAGTTGTACACATGGTAGTTTCTTTGTTTTTATAACATTCATGTATGATAGCCACCATTAAATCTTAGTAAACTCTTCTGAAATTAATGAGAAAGTGATATTGAATAAGAATAAAGACTTTCTTCTGTAAGAATCTTTCTCAAGAAATATACATTTTTAAAAAAAAAGATTTATTTGAAAGAATTAGAGAGAGAGAAAACAGACAAGACACACACACTCTCTCTCTCTCTCTCACACACACACACACACACAGAAGTGGTTGGGAAGGTGAGCCGAAGGAAGAGGACCTGGTGGGTGATTGGGAGAGTCTCCCTCATGAGCCACTTTGCGTCCTGATTCTCTCTTCTCTCAGCTTCATCCTGCCCACAGCCTTCATGTGCCTACTTCAGTGTACAAGGTCTTCCTGAATTTCTCAACCTGAATCTCAGCAATATACATATTTTGAACTCTGTATTTTATTTTTTGGATGGCATATTCCTAATTTGCAAGATAGTTAAAGACTTTGTGCTGTAAGCATTTGCTGGGAGCCATGAGCCATTCTGAGCACATCTGTGGTTCTCTGTGCACCTGACCTGAACACTCCTTTCTCTTCTGTGACTGTGGATTCACTGTTCTCCCAGCTCCACCTCCATCTGTGACTCTCCCACTCCCTGCTTGTCACTCCAGCACTTTTCTTATGTGTCCCAATCTGCCGGATCATTTCATCAGCGTTCGGAAGGGTTGCCCTTTCTCCCAATTTAATGTATTCTCTCTGTAGAATCTGCTTCTCTTTCTAGAGGTCTCCTTTCTTTCCTCTGTTCTACTTCTTTTTTGAAAGAATTGTCCAGGAACAGTCTCCAAGTTTTTGCCTCCATTCTTGTTTGAACCTATCTGATCAGACTTTTGCTCTGGTAGTTCGCTAGTGACTACTTGCATTGGTAAATACAATGGCCAATTTCATTCTCTATTTTAGTTGACCAGTCTTTATTATTTTTTTTTTTTTAGATTTTTTTTTTTTTAGAAAGTCAGATATACAGAGAAGAGGAGAGACAGAGAGGAAGATTCTCTGTCTGGTGATTCACTCCGCAAGTGGCTGCCACAGCCAGAGTTATGCCAATCCAAAGCCAGGAGCCTGAATCTTCTTCTGGGTCTCCCATGAGGGTTCAGAGTCCCAAGGCTTTGGGCCGTCCTTGACTGCTTTCCCGGGGCACATATGGGAGCTAAATGGGAAACGGGGCCACTGGGACACAAACTAGCTCCTATATGGGTTCCTGGCATGTGCAAGGCAAGGACTTTAGCCACTAGGCTAGTGCACTGGGCCCTTTGTTGACCAGTCTTAACAATCAACCCCGTTGGTCACTCTTTCTTCTGTAATTTTTCTTCTCTTGTTGTCCAAGACTAAATCATTCTTCTGGGTTTCCTACACTTGATCTTAGCTAAAAGTCCGAAAGGTGATCCTCTCATTTTCCTTCTTCTCCATTGGTCAATCCCCTTCATGCTTTGCTTTGTCCTCATTTTGCCTACTTCCTAATAACTGAGTAGTGTCCAGCTCAGTTCTTAGAGTTCTCTGTCCTCACGTGCTAGGCACTCTCTCCTAGTCTCAGGGCTTTACTCGTATCTGTGTGATGATGGGCACCACATTCAGGTCTCTGGCACTGAACTGTGCACCTGACACATCTTGGCTTTGTCTGACAGGCATTTCAGACTTAGCATGTCTAAAATCAAGCTTCTGAGCCTCCAGTAATCAGACAGTGTCGCCTGGGATACGAATGGGATGAAATGGTGAGCTTATTTAGAAACCCAACTTATACTGCCATTCTCATATGTATTTATTGCTTGTTTTGGATATATTCCCAGGCACGGGATTGCTGGCTCATGTGGTAGATGAAGTGTCAGTTGTCTGAGCACTTCCCATACCTGACATCCATAGTGGCTGCATAATTCTACAATCCACCAGCAGTGGACTAGGATACATTTCCCCCACATCCTTGCCAGCAGCTGTTGATTGTTGTTTTCACTGGGTTAAGTAGAACCTCAATGCGTTTTTTGAAAAAGTAAAAAAAAAAAAAAAATAGGATCAGCATTGTGGCACAGCAGGTAAAGTCATTGTCTGCAACATTGGCATTCCCTGTGGGCAGCTGTTTGAGTCCAGGCTGTTCCACGAGTCCTGGCTCTTCCAATCCAGCTCTCTGGTAACACTCCTGGGGAAGCAAAAGATTTCCTAAGTGCTTGAGCCCTTTTCATTCACATGGGAGACAGGGAAGAAGATCCTGGTTCTGGGTTTAGCTTGGCCTAACTCTAGCCATTGTGACTATCTGGGAAGTGACCCAGTGGATGGGAACACTCCTCTCTCACCTTCTTGCTCACATCGCTCCGTGATTCGGTTTTACAAATAAGTAAATAAAATCTAATAAAAAAATTAAAAAATCTGTGAAATTAGTCTCAAAACAATTTAACCCAATATATCCAAATATATTACCATCCCACTATGCAATCAAAATAGAAAATAAAATATAAACATATTTGTGGTACTGCATCTCCTAATGTTGGACTTTTAGACTTCAGCACATCTCAGGATGGCGTAGTCTCATTCTCAAAGCACCTTAACCCAATGTTTTAGTGGTAGCTGTTCTGGACACAGGTCTAGAACATACGGGAGCTAACTGAAGGATCAGCCATTTGATATTACAGATTCTGACTGAAGCACAGGTTCAAGGAGTAAAACAGGCAATAGTCAAATTGAACTACTATTTTTTTTTAAATGGCTAACAGTTCTAGATCTTTTAGTATATATGTGGCCAAATGCTTAACCTTAATTAAACTGGATTACTTTTCTTAGTTTTCACAATTTTACAAGTTAGACTTCTCCCACCTTCAGATGGGAAAATAAAGACCCAACAGTGAAGGAACTTGCCATCATGACCAGTGAATATATTTTCCTGGAAGTTAAGCACACACCATGATAGGGAAGGCAGCTTAAGGATTCATCAGTACACATCACTAGAGCACCAATCACATGTACTTTCACCCTGAAACAGAAGAGGAATAGAAAAGGAAGACTTTTTATGTTGGACAATGACTGAGTCATCTAATGATTGCTGGGTTATGGAATGTGAACATCTGTTAGCTTTAGGGAGCATGCCCAACATTTTAAAGAATGCTCTTAGCCTCACAGTGTAATGAAAAATCAAATTAGGCTGTGTAAAGTGCTCAGCATAATCCTTGGAATATAGGAACTCCTGAATATGTGTGTTTAAAATGGTAATAAAGGTATGACATTCTGTGAAGTCCAAACTCCATGATGGATTTACATGTTCATTTAGGTTGTTTGCATTGTTTTATATCATGCTGTAATAAATGACTTTCTTATATAGTTGCTTGATGTTGAAAGATTGTGTTTTGGTAAACCTGTGGAGTACGTTGGATTGAACTGTGTGAGACTGTGGGGCTCAGTGAGGGGAGAGTAAGTGGAGAGACACAACTCTGCCTTGTGGTCCAGGGGATGGAGGTGTGAAGACAGGATAGGGGCTTGTGGGTTCTCAGGGAGTTGTGCCTCCTAGATGACTGCAGGTTTGGGTGGGATGGAGGATGCAACAGTCGGGATGGGGCAACTTCCTATTTAGTCTCTTAGAAGAGAAACAGGGCAATTGGATGCATAATGTAGGATAACCATTAAATGAGGAAGGAGAGAGAAATAACAGGTGCAAGGATCTCTTTATTTATCTATTTCCCCCACCAATATTCGCATGATCAAAGCCAAGGAAGGGTTTGGGAGGGCACAGGAGGTGAGGGGCTGGAGGACTGCACTGCAGTGGGGGCTAGGTCCACTGAAGGCAGGGAAGCATCGAGGCTGGGCCTCAGGATCCGCTGATGGTGCTGGGTGAGTGTCTGGATTTAACATGCACTCCTACTGAAGCTCTTGACGAGTGGTGAGGTCAGGCCTGCGTGTGTTATCTCGCAGGTGTACTCATCGTTGCTGTTGTAAGTTGCAGTGTCCAACGTCAGAGTGCTGCTGAGGCTGTAGGTATTGTCTGAGTCGTTCTGTGGTGTTTTGCTCTCCAGGATACCAGTCTTCTTGGTAACACCACCCACCTTCCAGGTGACACCGATTTCGCTGGGGTAGAATTTATCCGCTATGCAGACAATAGAGACTGTGCCGGTGCTCAGCTGTTCCTTAGCTGGTGGGAAGATGGAGGCAACTGGCGCAACTGTGCTACCTGAGGAAGGAAATACAGAGGTTTGGGATTTGAGTACCTGGGAGCTTCTCCCCAAGGGGGCATTGGGAATGACCACAGAGCAGTTAGGGACATACAGACAGACAGCAGGCAGTACAATTGTTGCAACACGACCAGCAAGCAAATGTAGAATCTGAAGATTTGGGGTGTTGCCCTGGATACCACTACCCATTCAGAATCCTCAGTATTGTATGAACTCTGTGGGAACCCAAACCAGGAGGCCCCTTTGGTGTGCTCCTCTCCTCTGTCGTCTTTCCCAGGAGGGGTCAACTGAAAGCTGGGCCACCTGCGCAGGAGGAAGTGGTGCCTAAAGCTTCATTTCTGACCTTGAGCAGCTGCCAGATGGCCTTGTGAAAATCCCTATGTCAGTGGGGACTCAGGATCTCGGACAGGAGAGCAGAGTTAAACAGTAATCATAATAAAAAGAATCAAGAATCTTTTCCTGGGAGAAATCAACAGATAGCTGAACAGGACTTGACAAAGCTAAGCATAAGGTTCAAACAGTAGTTCAATATAAGATACTTAATAGGATAAGATATTCAGCACAGATTTTGCTCCTGAAATTTTCAATAAATCACTCTTGCACATCTGTTGCCCATGCTGGCTGAGGGTCCACCATATTCTCTTTATGTTAACGCCATTATGAGAATTATGGTGTGTCAGAAAACCTGGCCATGGCAGAGTTGAACCGGCTCCGGCAGGGTTGCTGTGGCCTTTAGCGGCCAGGCACACTGCCACAGAGAGTAATGGAATGGCCAAGCAAGTCATCCTGTCATGAAAAACGACCACCACAGAGGCCTCAGACCATGCTAGCTGTGCCACGGCCTCCCTGGTGCTACAAGAATAGGAATAAGTAACTGAGGAAAAATAAATAATAATAATAATAAATAAATAAATAGGTACTATTTTCTAACTTCCTACTGATCTCTTTTAATGCAAGATAGTGATCATTATAGCTGTGAAAAATCAATTAATTCCTCAGACTAAAGAGAGAAGGCAGATTAAGAAATACATTTCTCTCACCTTTTCTATATCATACACAATGAGCCAGGCACTGTCACCTTTGTTGATAAAGCTCAATAAAAATGAATGTCTTTGTTCTTTAGAGCACAAAGAGCTCCCTTTTTAAACTTCATTGATTTCTGCCCCTTTGAGTCATCCAGCATAGAGACATCTAATATTATGGCCTCTGAATCCATCCAGCTTTCACACCAGATGCCATGTCTGAAACAGACTCATTGACTCACTTTGATAAAATTCCTACTTCTGCTTCTAGAAGAGTCTATCTGGGCAAAGACAGCAAAACATCAAACAGTACTAAGAGAGAAGGTACTTACAGTTCAGCTCCAGCTTTGTTCCTGGGCCAAAGATGATCCACAGAATTAGCTTTACTGCTTTGCCCTCCACAGAATCCTCCACCTGCTGCCTAGCTCACTAGACCGGCTGATAGAAAAGGTCTGGCCACGGACAAGTTCTTTGCCTCAGTGAACAGATTTTCTGCTCCCTATTCATCTACTTTATTCTTTTTTTTTTAATTGAAGGATTCTATTTTCTGTTGAACTGACCTCAACTCACATTCCCAACACAAAAAAACCTCAAAATTTCACAGCTCCATAAGGAAAAGGATTAGAAAAGTGCACTTACGTTTGAGCTCCAGCTTGGTCCCGGGACCAAAAGGATACCACAGCGAGGACTCCATCATCCTCCCCTCCACCAAAACCTGCTCTGAGGCCGGTCATGACAAACAGGTGGAGGCAGAGAAACTTGTGCTGCTTGTTCCCCCTGTTCTGCTCACAACCCTCTCCACTTTGTCTGCTTTCTCAGCTTTTGATCATTTTTCTTCTACTTACTTTTGAGTCACCACGAATGATGACTTTCACCACACATCACAAAGTTGCACAAATGATACTAAAATCTCACAGAAAATTGAGTAAAAAGGTACTTACATTTGATTTCCACTTTGGCCCCCGGGCCAAATGTGAATCACAGTGAATTCCTTTAAGTTCTCCATCTACAAATACCTCCCGGGAAAGGCAACCAAGACCCACTGTCCCCAGTGAAGTTAGTCTGACTCAGAAATCTCTAAGACTAGCCTCCTGAGGAACCATTTCCCTCCCTGGCACCAAATCCTGGAACATAATTCGTGACAAGCCTGACCTCCAGCGAACAAAGACACACAAAATTGAACAAAACAGCAAACCACAGAGACAGAAGCAGTGAAGAATGGGTTCAAAGGCCACTTACGTGAGATGTCCAGCCGGGTCCCAGGCCCGAAAACAGCACACAATGTTTCCTCCTAACTTCCCTCCTTTACAAAAACTGAGTTTCCCCTTTTGAGCTTGGGTAAGCTCTGCCCAGAACATGTTACGATGTACCCCAGAACATTTCTGAAGCTGACCAACTACTCTCCCTCCAGGACTGATTCTTGGTCTCAACAGAAAGACACAGTGCTTGCTCATGTTTGCCTGGAGGGTTCTTGAGCCTGGTTCCTCACAAGAGTCAGGTTATAGACCCCCACACAGAGCCTGCGATCACAAGACACAGACAACCAGAGAGGGAATCTGGTTTGGGTTTTACTCACGTTGGATTTCCAGCTTGGTCCCCGGTCCAAACGTCCACCACAGTGACAGCTCTTGGTTGTCTCACTGTACAAAAACCCTTTTCATGGAAGGGGAAGGCAGCCCCACCTCACTGCAAGAGGAGTTTCTGCTTTCTGAACAGGTGTAGAAGCTCCATGGCTTCTCAGATGCTGGCTGAGTGTTTGCTTCCTACGGTGAGATCCTAGAAGACACAATATTGATGTATCTGTATTACTCTGGGTAGCCTGCATTCTGTCATAGCCCACCACTGTTGAAGTGCTTTGTTATGTATGCCTGTATGTAAGTATGTTTAAATGAATTCCAAAGAAGAATGAGTAAATTTGAAGTACTGCATGTGTAAACTTTCCCTTAGAGTTGGTTGGGAGAGCTTGCAAATGATAGACTTAGTGTAGTGAGGGAACTATCAGTGTTTTCCTACTAATGTTAAGAAATGACTTCTTCTCACTGAAATTCCTTGAATACATGATGTATTTTCAAAAAGACTAAGTGCATCTCACATGAAGACTCCCTCTAACTGACACAGAGTTAAATCTAGCTAGAATGGGACACCAAAATGAAGATAGAATAGAAAGGCAGCCTTGGTTGTCTGAGTTATGTTCACAGGTGAGGTGCAGTTCAGATCTCCAGGATCTGAACCAGGTGCTGCTGTCTTTGGAGTAGGCATGCAATCCTGAGCTGTCATGAGATTTCTAGGAAACTTCTTCAAAGATGCTGAATTCCTCATTTGACTTTGAGTTCTGTTTCCTTTGTTTCAGTTTTGCTGCTCTTTAATTTTCCTCCCCCAGAGCATCTTCTATTCACAGTCTCAGAACCCTAAGCCCTCTGTATTGTTAATGACCTCCAGTATTTTAGAGACTAGTCCCTCTGAGTGGTTCTTCCTTGAGTTAGCTAGTGAACAGCTCATTGTTCAAGATTCATCTAAATAGTAAGCTATCGTCCAGTTATACCCGAGTGGGTCAGCTGTGTTGGAGGAGCACAGAGACAGGTCTCTGGGCCTAGAACCCCTGATTGCTGTGGTCTGCTCTCAGTGCCTGACTGTGTGAGAATGTTAATTGCTGAATGTTTTTTTTGTCATGTATTTGGGTTATGTATTCCAGCCTCATCTCTTTCCAAGTGAGAATGATTAAACAAATATGAATATCAATCCCAGATCAGAGATGAGAAATTATAATAAACCAGAGAATAATATTGTCTGCTTCAATAGATCATTTTACAGCAGAAATTATATGTGTGATTTCCCAGGTTAGGGGTAGTTTTCTGTGAATCTGTCCCTAGCTTTGATAGTTGCCTGGAATAGTGGAGTTGGACAGTGGCATCAGAAGGCAAGGGCAGCTGAATGAATGAAGCTGGAGATAGAGAGTAGGACGATGTTGACAAGTGAAGTGAGTTGAAGAGCTGGTGGCCAGCAGAGTTACTATGTCCTAGTGAAAAAAGAAAGTGACTTGCACAAAGGTTGTCATGTATAGGACACTTACTAAGGGCTTAAGTTTTACATGGGTCACCATGTGTAATGATTTCCCCAATTTCATGAGCTCAACCTTAGTATTTTTGTGGTTCTGCAGGAGAGCCAACCTAAGTTCAGAGTGGCACAGAACTGATAAATAAAAGCTCTGCAGTGTGATCAGAGCTCATGGACGTAGCTAAGCTTTGCCACAGGTGAAAGTCTGGGTGTGCAGTCAGCTCATTGGATCATCAGGGATGAGAGAGTGCAGGGTGGAGGGAAGGGGAATGCTTCAGCCTGACTCACAGTTCAAAATTAATGGAAAATATCATGGTAGCATTGAAATGGTGAAAATGTGGTAAAATGGGGGAAAAAAAAACCCTGAAATTATGAGCAGTAGAAGTTTTTTTTGTTGTTGTTGTGAAACCAAATATGACAGTGCCTTATGAAGAAGTACAAAGCACCAATAAAATAAGGCAGCTGCCATTCAGTCAGATGTTTTGTTTTTATTGTTTGACTGGGGTAGTTGTCTAGTTTGTTCTATTCTTCTTCTGCTATAGCACCAAAGGAGCTGACATATCCTTCTTTCACAGTCGGCTGTGTTCACTGCTCTGCCTTTTTTTTTTTTAATTAAGTATGATATGTTCTTTTATGTTAGCCCAAGGACCTGGGCCAGTTGTCCCAGGCCTCCCTGAATGCCCCATCCCTGGGGTTCATAAACTTGGCACCCACCTCCAAGCTGGCCTCTAGGAGCTAGTGCAAAAGACCAAAGACCCACTGGATCCCTTGCCACCACCCTGCCTCTAGGGCTCACAAATCCTGCACCCACCTAGCAGATGGGCCAAGAGACCTGGGCCAATGGACATTGGGAAGGTGGCTTCATCCTTGAATTGGAGAAACTGACAACATTTCAGAACTATTCAAACTGTTTGGGCAGAACC